AGTTTTCTGATCCGGCCCCTTTGGGATCAAAGTCGGCTGAATACGGCCCCCAGACCAAAATGAGTTTGACACCCCTGGTCTAGAAGTTACCCAGCCCTAGTCACTATAGTATCATTAAGGACCTATTAATACAATACATACCTCGATACATAGGCCACAATACGATACGGTTTTCGATACAGTGAGCTTTCGATTCAGTACAATTCGCTACGATATATTTCACATCGATTCGCTATAGTTCAGTAGAAAAAAAAAAAGGCTAAATTATTGCTCTGATACTAAAAGTCTACTAAGTTTGTGCAAAGTTTATATGAAAAACACCAATTTTACTCATCAAAACGGTGAAAATGTCAACACAGTTGTAGCTCTTACATGAAATAATTTAGTAAAATATACCAAAAATTACTCTTAGCGATATATCGATACAGCAGCCCATGATATCGATACTGTATCATCAAATTAAATGGTATGATATATCGATTTTTAAATATTTTTGCACACCCCTAAAAGTGGCAAAATGCACACCATAGCTGTTAAAATGTTTTTCAGCAACACAGTTTCAGGAGCCTGTGATCAATACGAGCGTTCATGGTCCCGTTTTAGACGTTTGAGTTTCAACAAAAAAAATGCTGTGTGAGAGTAACTGAAAAACTGCAAGCTTGTGACTGTAATTTTGTGTGAGAGACGTGTTACACATCAGCTCACCTGTTGTAGCTTCAGCTAGTTTCAGTCAGTTCTTTTTGATCAGATTGCGTTAGATGAAATCAGTTTTGGGTATTGTACAGTTCCCTTTGGTTGACTCTGACCAGCCCATTTCATTTGGAATTACAAAATGAACATATTTTATAGTTGTTCCTTAGTTGTACATTCATGGACTAAAGCTGCATTGCTTTTATTTTAGGTGTTTTTTTTTTATAAATGACATTTTTTGTGCAGCAACTTCATTTTTTCATTGCTTAGTCATAACATAAACTCTTACCAGCATTACCAGCGTGTCAAAACAATATTTACTGCTTTTTATGAAGAAATACAAGGGTTAGTGTCATGGAATAGCATGCAGAATCATCGACCATATATATGAGAGGAAATGGCTAATGCACTAGTTATCACGTGCCAAATACGAAGTTCGCCAGGAGGTTCTTCCGGCCCCCGTCTGACTGTGGCTCCAACTTGCATTAGGATCTTGTCGCCCCTCTCTTTGTAACTGCTGCAGTGAGCCTCATCGTTTTGGTCTTAAAATGTTCACATTAACTTGCGACGCATGATTCTGAATTATTTTTTCACTGTTTTGTCCGTCAAAAAAATCATATTCATAACGTAGAGTCTGGCTCCAGATTCGCTCCTGTAACCGTGAGCATCGGGAGCCTCATTTGAGCGGCGCTGAACGCTGTGGGTGACGTCACACTCGCTTAGTCCACTTCTTTTATAGAGTCTGTGTGCAGAATTGAGTTTCTGTTTCTCATGTGGCCAAGTTGTGGAAAAAATTATTGCCCACCCCTGGATTAAAGTCTAACAAAGCCTCAGACAGAGCAGAGCCTACAGTTAGTATCACACCTCCAGAGAATGTTGACGGCATCAGCTGCAAAGTCAGAACCTCCAGAATTCCCTCCCTGAGCTGCAAAGGCTGCACTAGCACTGATTCATGATTGGCTGCAGGTTCTGGGGTTTAGGTAGTCACCATTCAGATCAGAGAGAGGCATTTTAGGTTTAAACGAATTGGATTTCAAGATTGAGGTTGAATTTTCAGACTGCTTAAAGAAGAGGATTAAAGGAATGTGACGTCATCTATACCGTTCAGCTCCAGTCAAATGAAGCTCATGAGGCTAGCAGTTACAGGAGTGAATTTGGAGCCGAGTTTCATTCTAAGAACAGGAATTGATTTATGGACAAAACAGCGAAATAAAAACACCAGGGAAAAAAAAAACACAGAAATGACAAGACTCACTGCAGCGGTTACAGAGGGAGAGGTGACAATTTTTCAATGTCAAGTCAATTGGAAACGGAGTCGATGGAGCCGAAATCGCCCTCTTGAACACTTCCCATTTGGAACGCAGCGGGTTAGCTCTGTCCATTTATATATACAGTACAGTCTGTGGTTCAGATGTGAATATCGCAGAACATTTCAGCGTTTCTGCATTTGATGAAAGCTAAAAATATTTATATTAGTGTCTGTGAACCTGCTCCTGCACAGCTGATGCGCCTCTATAGTTATAAATTCTCTCTTATGCTAATGTCACTTCCCTGTACTCTGAGTTAATGTCAACAAAAGCAGAAATTCACTCTCAAACGCTGCTTTATAAACTGTAGAAAGTGGTGTCCGGGCTGCTAAATCAACTTAATTGGATGCGCTTTTTGGCTGATTTGAGCTCTTTGTTACTTGATTGAGTGTTTCCGTAATATAATGGTCATTGTTTTTCCGACCTCCGAGGACGCCTGGAACGCAGCGTCGTAACAATTATGTGAAAGCCAAAAGCGTGACCAAGATAAGGCTAAATTAGAATTAAATAATGCATTGTAACGGACATTTTGCCTTTAAATCACCATATACTTTCATTATTATGAGAAACTGGAATATATGGTTAGAGGTGGATAATACATGGAGATGTATTTAATGTTTTGGAGTTTTTATTTTATTTTGTGTGTAGGGATGCACAGATATCGATACTGGTGTAAAATATTGGCCTCGATCAGCTCCCAAATATCAGTTCTGACGATCCTGGTTGGGGCTATAAATTGGTTTATGAAGACTTTTCACTGGCTGGTCAGTCCAGAAAGTCTCAGAATGTTTGACCTTTTTGATCATTTTAGATTTTTTTTTTTTTCCAGAACAAAAACAAAACAAACCCTACACCCCACCTCGGTTACATGCTGCTATTCTGAGATGCCACTATTTAGACATTGACGTTTAATTGTCGGAGTAGTGGCATAAACATTATTTTTTCAAGTGTCCCACTACTTTCACTCTTTTCATTGTCAGGTAGCGGCACTTTACTGTTTTCCACTTTTTCAACATGAATTATATTAATGCAAAAGCCTATTACACTTTTCCGCTCCCATATATCATAAGATGCTTGGGCCGGTGAAAGCGATAGTAAAGTGCAAGGATACAACAAGGATGCAAGGATGTTTATGTATGTATGACATGTAGTGAAATTTCAGTTGGTCCATCCAGTCCTTGTATTTGCGGAGGTCGCTGGTACGAGGCTAGTGCATGTCAATGGCCATAGTTAGTCTGACACTAAAAACAGTCTTATCCACTCCACAAAACACTCGAAGCAAAACGATTATAATGCCACACTGTTGATGTAAATGTCTGTGTTGATAGAATAATGATTGAAATAAAACTAACCATCACATGAATCGTCGCATGCTGAGGGACTATTTTCTCATAAATCAGTCCGCCGCTGCCAAGATTTCTATCAGGAAGTACAACTTGCTGCTGTTGCTCAGACGTAAATCCTTCATATGCAAGGTTGGTTTTACTTCTAAAATTATTCTATCAACTCAGTCATTCACACTGATAATAACAGACTTGCTTCGGGTGTTTTGTGGAGTGGGTAAGACTGTTTTTATTGGCAGGATAACTATGGCCATTGACATGCACTAGCCTAGCAACAGTGACCTCTGCAAATACAAGGACTGGATGGAATATTTTTACAAAGTGTCTCCACACGTCTCCAACACTCTGGCTCACTAGGAAATGAGGTCCTATATCCAAAATTCTGGACTGTCCCTTTAAGAACATTGAAAAACAGTGAAAGACGTGCCTGGATATACTTTTGCAACTCAAGAAAAAAACAAACAAACAGAAGACGTGTCAGAATAGCGATACTAAAACATGTGGAAAAACTGGCATGTCGTAATGTAAGGATGCTGGAATAGATGGCGGACCCTCCCACCTCTTTCTCCAACACACGAAGTACTGTATTTTCCGGACTATTAGGCGCTCTGCATTATAAGGCGCACTGTCATTAAATGGTCTGTTTTTGAACTTTTTTCACAAATAAACCACACAGGACTTTAAACGAAACACAACAGTTCGATGGGTCAGTGGGACTTTGTTTGTCGCGTTCACGGTGACTCTGGGCTTTGTTCAGTTGTGGCGTGTAGGGAGGGTGCTGTCTGGGACCGCTGGATTGTCGGCGTGTTCGCAGCGACTCAGTTGTTCAGTTGTGTCTAGAAGTGGCACATTGCGCTTGCTTTTTCGGTTCATTCCTCTGTTCCGTTCCTCGTCCACGTGGAGTGATGAGTGTGGCTGCGGGTGTGTTTCGCTGCGCAGTCGCTGTCTGCTCCGTGTGTGTTTGCGTGCGCTGCAGGTGGTAGGACTTTGTAGTTTACTGAAGTCGTGCTGGGACACCCGAGTGGATTCGTGTATAGGGCGCTCTGGATTGCGGGGCGTGCGGTCGTTTTTTGATGGGGTTGGAGGCTTAAGAGCGCATCTAATAGCCCAGAAAATATGGTAATAGAAAGTTGTTCTGTAGTTTCAACTGATTTCAGATAGTATAATATCGAAAACTGTATCGGAACTGAACAAAATGAATCTTTGCAGCACTAGTTGTGTTGTTCTGACATTATTGTTAGTTGGTACATCCAGTGCCTTGAATATATAGGCTCATATTATGTATCAGCTACAGTGAAAACCATCTGTATACTTCAACCTTGCCTGTATGTGCTTTATATATGATCTCATTGCATATAGGAGATACTGTAGCTCGATGGGAAAAAGACTAATCATTAACCATTGAGGGTTTTGACGCTTTCTGTACAGCGCAAAGTACAAGACATATTGAAGAACACCATTGTATCGACTCTTTTATATTCATGTAGCGTACGGCACATAGTAATATCAATCTGTATTATTCAGCTCTTCCATTTGTGTAATGCAATTGTATTCCAATCTATGAGAATCAAATATCACTCTACAAAAGTCTGAATATTTTATGATGTTATTACATGGATTTTTCTCATTCTAATCTATTTCAATTTCCTTTTTCTCATAGGTACATGATGAACGTGACGTGGGATGGTAGAGACTTGTCATTCACGGAGGACGGGTACCAAGAAAACCCCAAGCTGGTGGTCATCGTGCTCAACAAGGAGAGAGAGTGGGAGAAGGTAGGAACTTTACTGGATTAAAATGTCCATATTAGTCTATTTTCTGAGCTGTTATAATGTTGTTTCCTCATCACAAACAGACCTGTAACACACAAACGCTGCATATTTAGACTGAGCTCTGGAAACACCTTCACTAGAATCATTTGGATCATTTAGCCCTGGAACTGACATCACAAGAACAGAGCGTTTTGAGCTTTGGAGATGTAGACGGACAGGTATGTTTCTGACGAGGTAACAACTTTCTAACACGACATCGAGAATGAATTTTGCGTAACACGGGACCAAAGACAGAATTGCTATTTTAAGATTTCAAGGACGGTTTAGAGCAATGAAACGTCCTTACAAAAAAGGGTTGTCAGTATATATTAAGCTTTGCCGTTAGCAGCTGTGCCTCTTTCTGGAACTAAACACAACTTTTTTCATTACTTAACTGTGTGTGTGGTGTTTTAATAGCACAGTCTACTGATTTTGTTGCTTTTTTTTTTTTTATTTAAGTGCAGATTAGGGAAATTTACAACTTTAAAGAGGCTGAATTGAGTACTGAATTGTTTTCACGTAATAAAGTACATTTTGTTTTGCCGCAGTACAGATGCATTGTTAAAGCAGCACTTAAGATTAAAATGAGACTGATGTGTGTCTGCATGTAAAGCTGGTGCGCTGTTAGCATGCTAGTCGTTGTTATCAATACTGTTGTGAAAAGTGCTTATAAACTCATCAGTAGGCGTAGACCTGCAAACAATTTAAACTTAACTATTTGATTTTCACATTTTTAAGACGGTAAAAATCTGGTACCGACCTTTAAGAAATACTTAAGGTGAAGGGCAACCAAAATTGTGTGGTCAGATATTTTTAAGATTGCTTATGCAGTTTTGGTCTGGTTTGTAATACTAAGAAAAGCAGCATTAATTTAATTAGCACCATTTCAAGATTCTCGACATCACTTACATTGCATTATTCACTCACACCACACTTGGGCTTTGTTACGACCCAGCTCGCTAGGGTCTGGGAAGTAACAAACAAAACCAAGGTGGAGAATGAAATAAATTAAGTAATGTTTAATTAACAGGAATGTTGAAGGGTAACTTAACAAAACAGGCTAAAATATGTACAGAAAATAACGTAAACCAGGTGTCTCCAACCTGTAGCTCTGGAGCTGCCAGTAGCTCTCCACCCTGTTATAAGTAGCTCACCAAAGGATTTCTGAATCATATATTGTTCTGAATAACTCAAATGTAATGAATTACTACTGCTAATGTGTTATTTTGAACTCAGAACACTAATAAATGGATAATGGTGTCATGTTTTATAGGCAAACTGTACAAATCTAAGGCCTGCCCTCTTATATACATTAAATTTCTTGTGACCGCTAAAATGAGTAGCTCTGCAGCATTTTTGTTTCATAAAGGTAGCTCACTGGATGCAAAAGGTTGGAAACCCCTGACCTAAACTAAGAAATAAAATAACAGGATTAACATATAACGAGTTTTGTGTCTATACAGAAACGATTATACAGAAACTAAGGGACCCGCAACAAAACTAAATCACAAGTGCCCCAAAGTAAAACCACATAAACCCACAAACAGAATCAAGTGACTAAACAAAAGGCACAAAACAGAACTAAACTAAACAAGTGTCTCAACACAAACAAAGTCAGACATGTACTAGTGCAAAAATGAGTGACTGACACAGACACACACAAAATGTCAGACCGACCACAAAGGCCAGCGGAATCCATGTATCATTTGTTCATTTGTTTTTCAATATAAAACCAAAAATGTAAAAAAAAAAAACAGTTTTCTTCAGTATTAGTGTCCAATAACAAAATGAAAAAATTGAATAAAATTAAAAGGAATAATGAAAAAAAACAGATAACGACCTTTTCCTGTTTTCCATCCATCATCACAGTTTAAGTCACTGGAACGGGAAACGTCCGTTATCAGTTTTTTCCATTATTCATTGAAACACAAAATCGAAAAGTGAAAAAACAAATCGTGACCCGTTTTTTCATTGTGGTTTTGGAGACAAATAATGAAGAAAACTGTTATTTTTTTATTTTCTTATTTTTGGTTTTATATTGAAAAACGAATGAACGAATGATACACGGATTCAGCAGCCCAGAACGGCTGTGGAGAATCTTCTTAAATAGGGGGAGGAGGCTGGAGGTGAGGCATGACTGGCCTGGTGTAGAAGTGCTCCACCAATCAGGGACCAGGGCTGTCACAGCAGGGAGCCATGGGAACAAGAAAAATTAAAACACACACACACAAAACAAGTCAAAGAACTAGAAACCTGGGGCCATAACAGTCATGGTTAACTTCTTCTGTAGCCACAGCTGCCCTGGGGTAGACTGACTGATTGACACCATCATTTCTTATATCGACATCAAAACAGTTTCACACGCCCCGCAAAAGAGCTTTTGGTCAAAACTACAGTCCTCCTGATCATTGACCATGTAGACCTAGTTTACAGATCTGCATCAAAAACACTGCTCCATAAGCTCGATGTGATTTATCACGCAGCCGTCCGCTTTGTCACAGGTGTTTATCATTCACCACCCATCATTGTACACTTTACTCTCTGGTGAAGTGGCCCTCTCTCCACACCTGCAGACAAACTCACTGGTTACTGTTCGTTTATAAATGTTTAATTGGTAAAACTCCATCCTACTTCAGCTCACTACTGCACATCCACAGCTCCAGACACACACTGCGCTCCAACGGACACATAACCCTGGTCGTTCTTAAACCCCGCACAGTTTTGGGCCGTTCCTTATTTCAGTTTTCTGCAGCAAGTGACCAGAAACACCTTCACTTAGTTCGTTTTTACCTCTGTTGACTTTTAAAAACTCCATCCAGAGTATTTTACAGGATAATTGCACATATTTTTAACACTTTTATATCATTAATCTGCAAATGTTTCACTGTCTTATATCTCTATTCATTGTTTCATGTTAGAGTTGACGTGTGAGTGTTTTCTGTTTGTGAAGCCAAAGATGTTCATTTTGTCTTCTTATGTACTTTAACTTCTTGGGTTCTTTTTAAAGACAATACAGTAAAGTGTATTTACCTTGTTGACATGTTTCGGCTGCTGCTGCAAACCATCTTCAGAACTGTCCCCGGTGTTGGTGGTGACGTGTCGTATATCAGCTGATGTTACTTCCTGTAGGCGTGGTCAGACCTGATGGACCTGGCAGGTCGCTCAGACTGACCACGCCTCCCGTCGCCCGATGTTCTCCAAATTGGATCAGAAAACAACAAGTTCAAACGCTGGATCAAGGAGGCCATTGAAATCAGGAAACGAGGCACGGACAGCGTTAACCGTGATGACGGCGCGTTCCTCCTTTCACACACCTGGGACACCCTCCTCCAGAGAACACCGGGTTGACGGGAGGCGTGGTCAGTCTGAGCGACCTGCAGGTCCATCAGGTCTGACCACACCTACAGGAAGTAACAACAGCTGATATACACGTCAACACCAACACCAAGGACAGTTCTGAAGATGGTTTGCAGCGAGCAGCCGAAACATGTCAACAATATAAATACACTTTACTGTATTGTCTTTAAAAAGAACCCAAGAAGTTTTCTGTTTGTGCTTTTGTTGTACACTGCCTCTTGGCCAGGTCGTCATTGTAAATAAAAAGGTGTTCTCAGCTGACTTACCTGGTAAAATATTGAATAAATAAAATAAAATACAATCAGGTCTTCTACTCACAAACCTGAATATAAGCTGTTAAACCATCGAGTGTCTAGTTGCGACATTACGAACTGAATCCTAAAAGTAAAGATTGATTTTTCTTTTAAGCGGTTTTACTAACTGGCAACTCCATCAATCAATACAAGAAAAACATGGCAACAATTTACAATCCCAATGAAGCAAAATCAATGTTTAATATCCATACGCTACTTACTTGGAGTTTACATTTAACAAGAGACTATTTATAACCTGACGGACAACTGGCCACTGATAATTGTGACACCAGGCAGCAACAAACGCCGTTATTGACGATTCTTCCGAGTCTCATCTGACGAAGCCTTATTGATCTATGGGCTCATTTAGAGACAAGACTATGGATTTCCAGCTGTTTAATGCGAGGGAACGGCTCTAACCAATGGTCATCCAGCCAGCCACAGTTTTCTCCTCGTAATGGACTTTAAATGAGCACCATGCATCTTTATACGGAGTGCTGGCTGTCTCTCTCCGCCTTAAATACCTTCAGTTTAATGTAGCCGTAGCTCATAGTCAAAAGTAGAGAGGCTGATAGAAAGTTTGGATAACGCAAGAGGAAAGAGGTTGTGGGAATGGCTGTTTTTTCTGTGGAAAGATTTTTCTACAAATTGTTTGAAATTTTATAAAAAAAAGATGTTGAGGTGATCTGATTGACAACTGAACCTGAGTTACCAGTGCCTAAGGGAACACATGCAAGTTCCTTTTCAGTATGAAATTGAAACTTGTTCAAGATAAAAAAGGCAACCCAAATAAGAGACTCGTGTGAGGTTCGTTCTGCTTTCTGATTGGACAGCTGACTTAAAAATCATTGTATTTAAGATTAAATCAACGTTACATTTGTTATCGATAAAAGCTATATTATGATTTAAACATATCTACCTCACATATGGGGACTAGAGTGTGGATCGAGCTGTCCGACAGAGCGATGATTGAATCCAACCCAAGGCCGACAGGCATAAAGAGATCTATACCCGAAACCGACACAATTAAACACAATTAAAATCACACTATTTTCAGAGAGCTACTAATGACACGTGTAGGATATTGCTTGTGTGGTCTCTAACGGACACAGAGACGCAAAATACAAACTCGGGATACAGCGAAAATAATGAGAAGGCTTTATTACTCACCTCTCGTAAAGATGTTAAATTTAAAGTGCAGCATCTCATCCACATTATCCATATAAATTGTCCTCTGAAAATAATGACATCAAGTCCACAAAACCTTGTTATTGATCGAGTTTGAAGTGTTAAAAGTAAAAAGGCGAGAGTAGT